TTAATTTTTTTAACAAATATTCATTTTTTTATCCAAAAATATTTATAGAAAGTCGCAATAAGTTAGGTAGAATTTTTTCATTTATATCAAGTCGTAGTAGGTTAGGTAGAATTTTTTCTTCTAATTAATCAGATGAAATCAAGTTGGTGAATGAATCTTTGTCAGTTTATATTTTTTTCTTAACCTTCATTTTGTCATATATAAAAAATAAAAAAAAAATAGTTTTAGTAATGATCAAAAATTAAAATTGAAATATATTAAACATTTTGTTAAAGTTTATTTGTATATATTGGCAACCATGATTATTTTTTGTTACCATTATTTTTATATTAATTTATTTTTATAATGAAATTCTTTTAAAATATATTTTCATTAAAGAGTATGCTAAATAAACTATAAATCCTTATAATGCGAATTAGAAAAATCTTGATTATAGAAGGGATTAAGTTTTTGGCATTTTTTAAATCAAAATTGTTTAATCAGTACACAAAATTAAATTCTAAAAAAACATTTGTGTATATTTTGTAAAATATTTATACACTATTTAATTTTAAATTTACTTACATATTTTGAATGGATTACATAAATAAAAAATATTAACGTGCATTAAATATTTTTCATTACATAAAATAAAAAGAAACAGAAGACGTACATCTTCTATAACTTTTATAAATAGTAATGACATTATACGACAACAAAGTTTATAATAAAATAATAATTAAGTATTATATAGTGAACAAGAATAAGTAAAAATGTTACTTTCTCTTATATCAAGGAATAACTATATATTAAAATCAAATTTATATATTCGTATAAATTTGTTTGTGAAATAATATATTTATTATTTTACAAGCTAGCCTAATATGCTCATATTGAATGTTCTGGCTAAAAAACAACGCTGATTAAAATAAGTATAAAATAGATTATTCTATTGGCTTTTAGACTTAACTTTGATCAAAAGAAGTGAAAAATAGATGACAACCTTATTTTTTTTTAACTTAAACGGACAAAGCATCTGAAAGTAACTCATTCAATATATATGTCTCGTGCATCGCACAGAGTATGTACTAGTATTCACATACGACTAGATGATGGTATGCCTTGTTTTAAGGAAATTAACTCAACTAATAATATGCAGTTCTTATCTATAAAAAAATCATTCTTTTTTTTCGGAACGATAGAAATGATATATAAGAGGCACAAATGTGCAAGAGTACAACCACCAGCTGAATACGTACCCAGCCACTAGCTGAATAAAATTGGGAGGACTGGTCAGAAGACCGCCTAGAACCGACCATAACAGGATAATAACCTAACCAACACAAAACACAACACTAAAATGACCCCAACGGGGTAAAAAACACGACATTAAAACGGCCCCAACAGCGTAATGCTCGAGTGTGGGGATCCCAACAGGATAATAAGGTCACACTCGAGCGAACCGGGACCAACGGCCCAAACCTAAACCACATAAACACCAGCAAACACAGCTAGCACAACACAACAACAACTACAACACAACACACCTACAAAAGACAAACAAACATAAGAGAAAACAAACGGAGCCCTTCCTCATCGCACGACCTAGCCCAACCAGCAGTGAAGCGATCGACACAAGAAGAAGTCAAGATCCAGAAGCTCCTACCAAAACTGCAGAAAGCCTATACAGTAGGTTAAGCTGAACCCCAAACCCTTCCCCGAATCGACCCGTCATTGACCGAGATAGCCACAAATAACCTCATAATTTTAAATTTCAAAAGGAAGTTACATTTTTAACAGGCTGATAATTTGAATTTATTTTTTTTTAAAAAAAAATCTTTAATTAGTGAAAATAAAACTTTGGACCCAAATTTTCTAAATATTTAACCTTTATATATATTAATAAATATCTTCAGTCAATCAACTATCCACTACGACTCCGTACTATATACTTTTGATGATCAATTTAGCTATCCAGTATTGATTTACTGGCCAATGAAAAGTCTGTGTGATTATATTTAACTACATATGCATGTACTAATTTATTTATTTTCTTGGTACAAATATGCATGTACTAATTAATCATACGATGTGTGGGCGTATCTTGGAGATATGATTTTATTTTGATCTGCCGATGGATATTTCTTATTAAATCCCACCTGCTTACTTTTTAAATTAATTTTTGGGCAACTACTCATTTAGGTTTTAGTTACCAAATGAAATCAAGTGGAGATACGTTTATTGCTAAAAATTTGTTGCGTTGTGCATACAACTCTAGAGGCTTGCAATGCAAATAATTTGAACTATATTAAGGAGTATATTATTGGAGGTGTTTGCTTACTAATTTTTCAAATAATGACAAACAACAAATACGAAGTACGAACACAAAATACTTGAATAATTTTAAACAAAAGAATTCTAATTAATAAACAAAAACGATGAGCATGACATTCACTCTACATGTGCATGCGGAAACTGCCACCGATTAATGCACACGATATTCGACAAACGTCTTCAAGATATCATAATTTTTATCTTGTATGGAGTGACACATCACATACACAAGATTTCGGCGAACTCATTTGTGTTTAGAACTCTAAAAATATAGAGAAACATTAATGAACAGAAGGTGGTCAAGAACTGTCTTATGTTCTACCTCAATTTCTTATTTTATGTCATAGCAAAAATTCAAACTTGGTCCTATAGTGCCACTGTACAAAAACCCACCCGTCATTGACCACTTTCAAACTGGGTCAAATAATTTGACAGTTTAATCAATTTCAGTTTCATTTTATCCGCCAACCTTGATAAAATTACGACGTGGCATGACATGGCGGGATTAGGAAACTTTTACTCCAAAATTCAATGATCCACATCAACATTTGTTCTTAATTGCAATGAATTCTAAATTTTAAAATTGTAAACTAGTTCATATAACTTATTTAAATTTCCAAGATGAGCCCCTATAATCCTCAACCCTATTTTACTTCACCGTCGGCTGCCGCTCTTCACCCATCCCCCTTCACTAAGGCTGTAAACGAGCCGAGTCGAGCTCGAGCTTAAGGTGTTCGAGCTCGAGCTCGAGCTTAGGGTGTTCGAGCTCGAGCTCGAGACCTTAACGATCCAAGCCGATCTCCGCTCGTTAAATAAACGAGCCTAAAATCGAGCTCGAGCTTTAACGAGCCGAACTATAAAAAATATATAAAAATTTTATTTTCGAGCCTTATCGATCTGAGCCGAACTCGGCTAGTTAGCCAAACGAGCTTTTAATGAGCTCGAACTAGGTTCGTTAAAGCCTCGAGCTCGAGCCACTCGAGCCGAACTCGAGCCTTAACTAGCCGAGCTCGAGCCGAGCTGAACCAAGCTCGTTTAATTTAACAGCACTACCCTTCACCCATCTTCCAGTCAAAATCTAAGAACCTTCGGAAAATAATGTGTACTATTTCTTTTTTGCAGTCAAAGTTAGTGAAGTCGAGGCTTTGCACGAATTGTTTAAGAAAATTAGCAGCAGAATAATCGACGATGGACTCATGCATAAGGTATCAAATTTTTGTTTTTTTTTTTTTTTTGATTCTTTATTTAATGACGCTTTTTTAAATTTTTTTTTGTCGGTAATTTTTTTTTTCAGCAAGCACTATTTAGGAATAAAAACAAGGGGAATCTAGAGTGATCTGAATTTGTTCGATCTTTAGGCGTATTTTATCCTAATGCACAATATTTTTTTTTATTTTCTTTTGTTTGTTTTAATTTGTAGACCTTTCTGCATTTTTTCCGCCGCATCATCATGCCATGTGAGATTTAAAAACGTCATATCTCTCCACGTCACAATTTTATCCCGAGAGCAGATAAAATGGGACTAAAAACGCCATATCTCTCCACGTCACGATTTTATCCAGCGTGCAGATAAAATGGGACCAAAATTGATTAACTGTCAAATTATTGGACCCAGTTTAAAAATGATCAATAAGGGGGTGGGTTTTTGGATAGTTGCCTTTATGTCATGTTTACTAGTGTTGATGAATTTCAAGTCATAAGTTCATTTACATATGTAGGAAGACATCACCAGGGTCAAAAGACACCTTCCGAAGAACATGCCGAAACATGAACGAATGCACCCGAAAGCCAAAACATAGCTTATGGACACAAGGAGACATAACCCCTCTCACTAAAAAAAATGGTCGCGACTTCTAGTAGGCATTACGGACCGTCGACACCATGACAGTCGTCGTGGGCTGCGACAGAGCCAGTTGCCCACCACACTTTTGTATGCACTTGTTCGGGCACCAGAGAGTGTCCAATTGAGTCATACTCATCCGAAGTAACCTTATTTAAGTTATATCATGTCTAGTGCATCGTTATTGCTCATTTGGCTTTCCCGAGCGAAAAATGTCGAATATTTGCATAATTAACAATTTTTGAGATATTCAGATTCAATTTTTATCTTCAAACTTACTTTTTCCTACATATACAACTTAGAATTAATTTCTCCGTCTTCTAAAAAAGATCACAATCATGTTGAAAGACAACGCCAAGAAGAACCTTATAGAAGAGATGAATGTAGCATGGCAGACGAGGCCAATAGGATCCGACCCCCCGCCAGGCTGGCCGCATTTCCCCAACTCGTTGGTCACACAGCGCGAAATGTTACTGTCTTCGGGTACTGCTCTTACGCCAACATCAGATACGTAAGCAGGGTCAACCAGTGGAAGGCCAGCGAACTAACATGAGGGAGAAAGCCAAGGTATAACCATTCACGCAGCAACGAAAGACGAACAATGAATGTTCGAGCTACTTTCTGCAAAGACAGGAGGCCAACCTGAGGAAGAAAGGCTCATTTTTAGACCAGTAAGAGAACATCAAGTAAGTGGACAAACCCGCCCAATCAGTGTCACACCAAGTAGTAAGGCGTAAATCAAAATCTGTGCATGTGGAAGAAAATAACCTGACCAGGACTACCTTTCAAATACCGCACTACCTGAAAAGCGGCATCCCTATAAGGCTGAAAAGGGTTTTGTATAAACTAAGATAAAACATGAACTCAATAAGACAAGTTCGGATGAGTGACGACAAGATAAATGAGTCTGACAACCAAATGCCCATACTTTTCTGGATCGGAAAGTGGAGGACCAGTAATAAGTGGAAACTAATGATATTGTTCGAGTGGTACAACTCGAAGAGCGGTATCGTAACAAGGCTGAAAGGGTTGTCCATAAACTGAAATAAAACATGAAGCGAATAAGACAAGTCTGGGCAAGTGACAACAAGATACATGAGTCTGCCAACCAAATGCATGTACCTCTCTTGATCAAAAAGTGGAGGACCAGTAACAAGTGGAAACTAATGATTTTGTTCGAGTACAAAGGGAGTCGGCTTAACCCCTAGAAACCCAATCTCAGACAAGATGTCAAGAGCATACTTTCGTTAGCCCAAAAAATGCGATTGGAATTGTGAGCCACCTCCAAACCCAGGAAATATTCAGAAGTTTGAGATTCTTCATATGAAAGCATCGACTTAAATAAGAGGAATAGATAGCAACTCTGTTATTCCCGGAGATGGCTAGACCTGGGTCTGGGATCGTCCAAAAAATAAAAAATAAAACAAAATATATAGTGATTTCTCAAGTCGGCCCGGCGCGCTGGGCCAAGGTCGAAAAACATGACCCTGGATTGGCCCGGTTAAAATCTAAGCCGGAGCAGGACCCGGACCCGTGATCAACAGGCTTGACCTTGCCAGGTCTAGGCCGAGACTGTGGGTCGGTCTGCCCGTGGCCACCTCTAGCACAAAGGCAAACTAGTCGGGTCACAACCCTAAATAATTTGTGATCATCTTCTTAATAAATTGAAAAAACCATTCTTCAACACCCACAATCCATGGATCCTCGCCCGAAATTCTCAGCCGCGAAAGCCTAACCCATATCATTTGTCGCCCAATCTTCACCGTTTCTCAGCCACTGAGCGCCTTTCTTGGCGGCTAGCAGAACCCTTAGTCGGCGAATGGCCCGTAGCTGCGCGGCCACGCTCCAATTGGGCTTCCCTCTAGGTTTTTCTCGGCTTAGACGGTGGGTTCCTGGTGTCCTGTGGTCGGCTCCGCCCCGGTATGATGGTCGACTGCGAATTCGACGACTCCTCTATCTTTTTATGTCTGATTTGTTTGCCCCGACGGAGGATTCCCGGAGTTCTTTTGTTGGTCTTGTTTCTGTAGGGTGGTCGATGGCGGGTTTGATGGGTTCTCTGCCGATTTGGGTCTGATTGTCGTATGGAGGTGTGTGGTTGGGGTGTTGGGTGCGACCCCGGCTGCTCGACTCTCTGAGTCACGGCGGTCGGGGGCTGAGGAGGATCGATTCTCGCTCTCGGTCCCTATTTCCGCTGGTGTTGTGGCTTTGGGATGCCGACACGCCTGAATCTAGGCCAGTGGTGTTGGCCAGATCTCGGGTAGCTGGTGTGTGGGGGGCTGGTCGATTCTCCTCCGACTATGGGTCGACTTCATCCTCAGAGTGGTTTGAGGTTCGAGATTCGTCCTTTGCTAGGCATTAGGCAGTGGCGGGATTGACGTTCTGGATTTCGGGTCAAGTTGTGGGATGTTTTGTCATTATTTTGTCGGTGCCTAGTGCTAGGTTTGGCCTTCCCGCTGGGGAAGGGTCTTGTTTTGTTGGTAGATTAGTTTGTTCTCTTTGTGACCGTGTTTGTGTTGTCTTGGTTTGTGTTTTTGGTTTGGGCCATTTGGTCTCAGTGCGCCCGAGTGTCGACTTATTATCCTGTTGGGATCTGACACTCGGGCATTATCCCGTTGTGATCTTTTTTAGTTGTCTTAAGTTGTTATTTGTGTTAGTTGCTTTTGTGTAGTTGCGAGTTTGTCATTCTAGCGTTGCTAGCCAGTTCTAGGCGTTTTTCGGATCTGCCTCCTAGTTTTATAGCCTCTGGTTGTACTATTCAGCTTTTGGTTGCTTTCTTTATGTACTTTGTGCGCTGTTATTAATATAAATCCTCTATCTTTTCGAAAAAAAAAAAAAGAAAAAAACCACAATCCATTAGGTGGAAATGAATTCATATATATACAATGATATACATATATAGAATCAAGGCCCTTCCACTTAGAGGCAAAATATCACTACCACAAACCAATGTACAAGACTTGAACAAATAAATTTATTTTCAGATATAAAGACATCAAAGGCTCAAACCAATGCTCACTGGCATCACAATTCCAATGGATGATAATCATGTTTATTTACATTATAAAACACTCAACGGTATACACTCTATGTTATTCACTAAACCGTTCAATCCATTCTACTCGTGAATGGACAAAACAGAATGAAAATATAAAAGCCGGTTGTGACTCGTAACATATATAAGACCAAAATTTCTTATACATGAAGGTGATTATCATCGTTCGCGTTGGAAAAACTGCCGTGAGGACGAAAATAATATGAATGCCTAATAAAAGAATTCGATATTCACACTCTTCTCATATTCAAGAGCTTCCGGCGTGAAAAGAGCAGCAGTATTTACATAGGTGCACAACATGCATCCATTGTTTTATGCCTGGGTAGCCAAAAGAAAATGGAATGAATTCAAACTATATATATAAAGCTAAGATTTTGGTATTACCTCACAGTCACCTCCTTGTAGACAAAAAGAAGCGCTAATGCTGGCGCTCTTCAACATACACCGACTTGAATTTCTATGCACGTTTTGTTTTCCCTTCAAATTATGGACACTCGTAATAACATCTGATTGCTTCTTGGGATACGGAATAAGGCTTGGGCGCCGAATATCAATCGTTTTTTGATCTTTATTGCGTTCGTTCAAATCCTCGTCTATAGAGGAACAAACGCGTTCTCTGCAAGATATATACAAAAGAAAGCATATACTTTTTATTTGATGGTTCCAGCCAAACCATGTGATGCAAATGGACAAAAATGGTTGTAAGATTCCAACCACTCCATATGATTAGACATTTTTTTAACAATTGTAGGTTGTAATTTTGACGTAAAGTAGCATCTTCTCTGCTATAAATAGCACTCAGTTGAGGGCTGGAAAATGCACCAAGAAGCAAGGAAGAAAAAGATCAGAAAGGAAATTTTCTGGAGTGTTATTTTTCAATGAGATAAAAATAGAGTGTTTGAGTAAATCCTGTGAGTGTGGGAAAAATACACCGGGTTGGGTATCAACTCTATTACTCTTTGTTTAAGAGTGGGGTTCTCACTAGGTCACTATATTTTACATTTCTAGTGTAAGGGAGTGTGAAAAGATATTGTAATTATCTTGAAAATATAGTGGAATTGTTCGGAGGTTGTCCCGTGGTTTTTTTCCTCTATTTGGAGGTTTTTCCACGTTAAATCTTGGTGTCTTATTTCTTGCATATTTTATTTATTTGGGATATTCTTAGTATGCTCTGTGATTGCAGTTTAATCTGATCTTCCACATCAGAAAAGAATTATTCCGATTTTATTGCAAGAGATTTCTTTTGTCATTCTTGAGTTACTGGGATTGGGATTATTGTTCACCATTTTACCTTGATATTTTAATTTACATCTTCCGCATTGCACATCTGAGCCCAACAAGTGGTATCAGAGCTCACGTTGGGCTCTGTATTGACCCGTGTAAATTAAATGGAGGAGAACGTGGGTACCATGGTGAAGCTCACAACAACAAATTACTCCATTTAGAAGCCAAAAATGGAGGACATACTTTTCTACAAAGATCTGTATGATCCTGTAGAAAAGGGAGACAACAAGCCAGAAGACGTGAAGGATGACGATTGGAAAAAATTACACAGGAAGGCTGTCAGTTTAATCCGACAGTGGGTGGATATCAGCATATTCCACCATGTTGCCATAGAGTCGAAAGCCCATACTCTGTGGAACAAAATTGAACAGATGTACCAGAGGAAGACTGCACAGAATAAAGCTTTCGTCATTAGAAAGCTTGTAAATTTAAAATATCGGGA